GAATGAGGTCATGAAGGTGTTACCGGCAGCGAGACTAGCAGTTATATTGTCTTGGCATTTTCTTTGCGTGTGATCAGGCATTTCTAAAACATCATTCAGTAGGCGAGTTAGATATAACTCAAGTTTGCATTATTTGAAGTTGATTGAATATATTTATTTCGTCCTGCGGCAACGTTGTAGGGTGATTTCGTCGAGGGTACTGGATGCCTGCTACCTTGGACTCATCTCGTGACAGTTCTTAACACTGTTATCTGCAGGTAAGCGCAGTTCGATATTTTATTCTGATGTTCCCATTTGTGCACTTGAAATGGAGCTCTTGATCTTTATGTCTATTTTCTGTGTGTGCTGTTTGTTTATTTCCGAGAGAAAATTGAGGGTATTTGGAGTAAATAAATTAGGGTAAGACACACAAGGCGCTTGAGTGCGTCTCTTTCGGTGTTCTTTTTTTTTGTGTTTTCGTCCTTGTGCGCTGTTCTTCTCATGTCTAAATAAAACATACATTGAATTTTAATCAGGCAAATCACTTCGGCAAAAATATTTACATATTTGCCGAAGTTCGACATTCGGCAATTAGAAATTATTCGTGCGCTCCGCAATCATTAAAAGTAGTATATTACGGAATAAGGTCATTAAGTTGTTGCCGGCAGAGAGACTAAAAATTATAATGTCGTCATGACTTTTTTTTTTTGCGTGTGATTAGGCTTTTTTAAAAGTCTATAGTAATAATCTTTCAGTAGGCGCGTTAGGTATGGCTCAAGTTTGCATTATTTGAAGTTGATTGAATATATTTCTTTCGTCCTGCGGCAACGTTAAGTGCAGGGTGATTTCGTCGAGGTTACTGGATGCCTGCTACCTTGGACAAATCCCGTGACAGTTCTTAATACTGCTTACTGCAGGCAAGCGTAGTTCGATATTTTATTTTGATTTCCTTGTTCCCATTTGTGCACTTGAAATGGGGCTCTTGATATTTATGTTTATTTTGTGTGTGTGCTGTTCTTTTCATTTCTGAGAGAAAATTGAGGGTATGCTTCGAGTAAATAAATTAGCGTAAGACACACAAGGCGCTTGAGTGCGTCTTTTTCGGTGTTCTTTTTTGTGTTTTCGTCCTTGTGTGCTGTTCTTCTCATGTCTAAATAAAACATACATTCAATTTTAAATTTTAATCTGGCAAAGTTATTCGGCAACAAAATTTACATATTTGTCGAAGTTCAACATTCGGCAGTTAGAAATTATTCGTGCGCATCGCAAACATTAATAGTAGTATATTACTGAATAAGGTCATTAAGTTATTGTCGGCAGAGAGACTAGAAAGTATATTGTTGTCTTGGCATTTTTCTTTTTTGCGTCTGATCAGGCATTTTTAAAAGCTGATCATTCAGTGGGCGAGTCAGATGGCTCAAGTTTGCATTATTTGAAGTTGATTGAATATATTTCTTTCCTACTGCGTCAACGTTGTAGGGTGATTTCGTCGAGGGTACTGGATGCCTGCTACCTTGGACGCAACTGCAGGTAAGCGTAGTCAGATATATTATTTTGATGTTCTTGTTCGCATTTGGGCACTTGAAATGAGGTTCTTGATTTTAATATTTTCTTTGTGTGTGTGTGGTGTTCGTTCATTTTCCAGAGAAAATTGAGGGTATACTTCGAGTAAATAAATTAGAGTAGGACACACAAGGCGCTTGAGCGTGTCTTTTTCGGTGTGTTCTTTTTGGGTGTGTTCTTTTTCTTTGTGTTCGTCCTTGTGTACTGTTCTTCTCATGTTTAAATAAAACATACATTTAATTTTAATCTGGCAGAGCACTTCGGCAAAAATATTTGCATATTTGCCGAAGTTCGGCAGTTAGGGTTGGCGGTCATGTGGGTCTGCTGTGGTGCTGAGTAGCTAATGTGGTGTAGCGCTCTGTGGTGTACGTTCTTCCTCTGTCCTTGTCTTAAAGCGCACTCATGTTTTTTCACGTACAATACCAAGTCGCCCAACAATCAGCACTTGTATATACTAACCTGCTACAGTAGTTGTACCCCTTTGACTAAGATTTGTTAGTCTTCTAAGTAAATCGGGGTGACAAATTTAAACATGACCGGCGAACACAAAGTGCTTACTAATCTACGATTACCACCAGCCATGTGATAATTTTAGTCAGTGGTGGTTAGTCAACAGTTAAACTAGTCACGTCTGGTAAGTAGGGTTGATGCTTTATAATGCTAGAATCAGTGGCCCATCAAATGCTCAAAATGCGTCTTAGAAAAATCTAATATTTCTTCACAGTTTATTTAAATTGGGGATGATATGTTTCAACTTCATATCACATGATTTCCACATTCTTTTGGTTCCAGGCAGGCGGTGCAATCTACCCGGTGGCTGTCAGCTCAAGCCTAAGTAATCCTGAGGCGCCCAGCGATGTGGCAGTGGAGGGAGACCTCGAAGCCGCGTCGCCTGCTGAGGCAGTCCTGGTTGCATTCTGCCTCTACTTCATCTTTGACTACACGTATCATCACCAGTTCAGGCGCAGATTCATTGCACTAGAGTACTTAATTGATCTGAAACACTCAAATGTGGAGTCACGTGCAACGAATTGCTTTCGAACCTAAACAAAATGCCAAAAAGTAGTTTCTCTTTTAATGCCTTATTATGCAGGTTTAGGAATTTTTTATGTCACTTGTTTAATGTTTTTTTTTGTCTGACATAAGGCAGGATGGTTGATTCTGAGAGTTACAGAAGGTCAATGATATTGCTTTAGAATCACATTTTTGTAATTTCCGAACTCACAGCTTTTTGCTTTGTGCAGCATTGGCATACTTAATTTATTTCAGTGTACTTCATACTTGGTGCCTCAAAGCATTCGAGGGTTGTGGTTCTATGTTCACACTGATTTGTGCTTGCAAGGTTTAAATACAGCTCATTAGCAGCAGGAGATACAAGCCCTTTTTTCTTTCCACATTGGAAGAACAAATCCCGGAGTCTGCTTTCCTCTACTCCAGCGTTCATTCCACTACTGTGGATAGGACGGGCATAGTGTACTGCTCTCCTTGAGTTGCAACGTACTAGTCATTGCTAGTCGTGTATTGGTTTGTATTGCTGTTTGCAATATATGTGATAAAGAATCTATTTCATATGACAGTGCGTTCATTTTGATTCTGGTTTGTACAAAACTCAGACATTTGAGTTCACCCCAGTGAAGCTTCGCTATTCCAAGCAGTGTTCCAAGCATTCACTGTTATTTTCCGGGTAGACACCGATTGTTTATGTACTTTTTGTGATAATTTTATTGACTGTCGCGAACTAGAGCCCCGAAAGTGTTGTTCCAGATGCCTTTATTGCGCTTAGTGGTTTCATCTTAGAACTTTTATAAGATGTATAGTCATGCCATTGATTTTTATGCCATTTTGTCCGTGACAGCCACAATAAAACATTGTCATTTACTTTCAGAACTAGGCCGTCTTCATCTATTGTAAGGCCCACCATTGAAACATGTACTATCACGCCCACGAAGGGCCATAGTACCTTGTTTTAGGGGGCAAAAGTGATTCCATCAAGTGTACATTTAACCTGTATTAGGGGGTGAACTGGGCCAGTTGGTTGCTGTTACACATGATGGGAAAAACAGCTCGGAAATCGCGGACTACGAAGAACAAACACGACAGGACAGCACTGTCCTGTCGTGTTTGTTCCTCGTAGTGCCCGTTTTCTGAGCAGTTTTCCTCGTCGTGTACGTTTAACCCCAAAGTGGATCATAGTTCCCTCCAAAAGGAGGTAAAAGCAGCGCCCTCAATTACGTCGTCTTACCCCTCAGAAGGGTTGAAATTACCCCCTAAAGGAGGTAAAGGCTGACCCTGAAAGGATGCACTTTTAACACCAAAAGGAACTGGTTACCTCCAAAAGGAGGCAATGTTGCACCCTAACCAAGGAGGTAAGTTTGCACCCTCGTTGCAGGCGGTAACGTTACCTCCAAAAGGGGTTGCCCTGTGTGCTCGTCATTTTCCCCCCTCAAGGAGGGTACTACAGTACCCTTTTTTTTAAGAGTGAAGATACAAAGTCAAGACGCTAAGGTGGGTGATCGGTGTCAAGCCATCCGTCAAGCGTGTCCACTACCAACTAAAAAAAAACACACGGCGTGGCATGCCCTGAACATATTAGTATTGCTCTGCAACAGATGAGATGGAGGATTGGTCGATAAGCACGCCGAGGAACAAATCACAAAGCAAAAGGTGTAAGAATTTAAAAAAAAAGATATATGTATATATATATATATATATACATACAGGTTGTCACACCAAAACATATTTACACGTTCCTTTTACCATAAAAATAAACTAGGCATCGCGAAACGCTCCTTCTCCGCCCAAAGGTATACCGCTAGAGGTCACAACCAGATGCCAAAGTTTCAGCCCGATCCGATACTTTACTCAAAAGTTATAAATGGTTTTCTTGAAAGTTCAATGAGAAACTAACGACTGACGGAGTTGTCGAATACATAGGGCTGTATGGCACCAGAAATCAAAAATGGGCGAAAATGGGCTCCATTTTCCCTTTGAAATTTTCAGAAAATCACTTATAACTTTTGAATAAGGTATTGGATCGGGCTGAAACTTTGGCGTCTGGTTGTGACCTCCAGCGCTACCTTTGGGCGGAGAATGAGCGTTCGGCAATGCCTAGTTTATTTTTCCGGTGGTAAAAACTCTGTATTTATTTTTGTGACACCCTGTATATATATATATATATACATGTTGTGTGTGAAACAAGCATACATTTTTTGCGCACTTGATGGAAGAAGTGGAGTTGCCGTAGTGTTGGACTTGAGGGGTGTGTTGGGGGAACAAACTGATTTCTCAAGTAATCCTTGCACCTGCTATCTTACCTCATACATTTCCAATATATATATAATTACCCGATGTCGGCGTTATAATAGCATTCATGCAGATATAATGACATAGAATAACGCTGTTCTACTTCAAAGGGTTGAGAGCAATGCAAAGATTATTCTTCGTCGCATGTTACTTACCCTGCAACATACCGTATCACATCTTGGCAGCATGGCGATAGATGGTACTGATTTTTGTTTGTCGTGCCCGTGAGGTCTGAGCTCATTAAAAAGCCATCGCTCCCCGAACATGATTCCGCCCCAGGAGAGTTTGGCAGCGCGGGAGGCGCTGGGTCCCCGTCATGTGGACAACCAAGCCTGCAGGTCAAAAAAAGTATATTTTCTATATACCCTCATCATTAGTACAACGTTCGTAGGTCGTATGTTACCCTGGTCGTAGAAACATAGTGATACGCAAAAATCACGAACAATATATTTAAAAAAAATTGTACCCCTTCATAAACTGGTATTGAAAGATTGACCGATTTTTAATAATTAAAGTTGAGCGTACAGACTTTACGAGTATATCTGAGTTATAGGCTTCTGATATTACTCTGTTAATTCCCGCCTAAACATGAAAGTAAGCATACGAAACACATAGAAGGCAACATAGAAATATTATTCTAAAGTGTGTTATGTTGTTATGGGTGTGACGTAATTCTTAATTATAACTTCGCGTAGCATTGTCTCCTACTGGCCGCGGAGTACGGGGGGGGGGGGGGGGGGGGGGGTGGCGGAACTAGTGAAATTCTCATGATCGTACTGTCAGGTGATTCTTTGAGGAATTTCAGCTGACTCGGAGATGCCCTTGATGACGTCACTAAGCTTAATACAGATCACAGGCCGCAGTAAGGTTTTCCGGGTGGGCTACGTCAATTTCTGCACTTATTGTTTTTAACAAAATTGTTTACTCAGCTGAATCTGTCTAATCGTAGTGTGATAATCGAATTTAGGAGAATGAAGTGCAGAAAATGATTCCCACTTTATAAATATTTGTTCCTGCATAAACTTCAAATATCATAGGGGAAGTTTAGGGCTTTGTTGTCCAACGCATTAGACTTGTTCTAACGGAAACTGTCGTATTCTTAGGAGTTGAATTCTAGAATAGGCTTGTTTGTTGCTCACGGCAGAACTCAGAAATGGCCAGTTACTGGGTACAAGGTAGGATCTAGGTGATTTGCGGAGCTAAAAATACAATAACACATAAAAAGAAACTATTTACGCAGGGAAAATGCGAATAATTCGTCTTTTGCTCACTGTTCCTGCGGAAATTGCTTTTTCATGTATAGTCGTATTTCCAGGCTTCTCATTCGCCACCATCATGTTCTGCCAAAAAGTAAACGCGCCAGTTTTCTTAGGGTAGGAAAATAAGAAAAAGAAGAGGAAGGAGCCACCGTATACCGTTACGTTTTTCTTCACCACTAACTTCTTAGAGGCGATGAAGAGATCACACGCGCAAAAAATCGCCCCTTTGCAAAGCTGCACGGAAACAGCTTTGCAAAGCACCGATTTTTCGCGCAAAATAGTTTTAGTGTCGCACTCTGTTAGTTCCCGCCTAACCATGAAACATACAAAACACATAAATAAAAGTTTTTCTTCTATTCCTATGTGTGAAGTGGTTTTAAGATTAGAAAAACTTGTGAGTGTTTTTAAGTAGGCAACATTGAAGTAATAGGTCTAATGTGTCTTATGTTGCTGTGGGTGTGACGTAATCCTTAATTAAAACTTTGTCGTAGCCTTGTCGAGAAACGTTGATTATACACCAATGCAACTCTGTTGCGTCACGCCGTGGTGGTGGCGCGTCGGGCGCTTCGGGTGGAAGTCGCCATGCGGGAAGGGCAGTCCTGTGCTTTTTTAAAAGAAACGTGCTAAAGCCTGCCTTCTCGTCAAAACGCCGAGGACGGGCCGTGCCAAAAGAGTCGGGAAAGGTTTAAAGATAAGTTTTCATCTGTTTTCTGCCTGCTAGGTTTTTCCGGGAACGTGGATCTGTATAGTAGCCGTGTAGGAAAAACAAAACAAAAAAAAAAGAAACAGACCTGTTGGACCACGATCGGCTCTGCGGGAAGCATATTGAGTTGAATTCCCGGATTGACACACCGGATAAAAGCGCAGCCATCATCTATTTTTGTTTTGCCTCACCACTATTTTTTTTTTATTATTTGGAGTTTGAAATGTGTTATTCAACATCTTGTAAACCCTGAGATGGGGAACGATAAAAAAACGGACGAACACAACACAATTTCAAACGCAGCTGAAGTTTTATTGATAGGAGCATACCAATAAATAAACATTCCCACAAAAGGAAAAGAGAAAGGGCAAACAAACTCAAAAGCAAAAACCAACGCGTTCACCCCAGACGGCCTAAGTCACTCCCCATGGAGGTCAGCATGTCTGGTGACCGTGGGGTTGTTGTTCTTCGAGTGGTCGGCTCCCTTTCCGAAACTTCTTGGAGCCGGCGAGTGGCTTAGGCCGTCTGGGGTGAACGCGTTGGCCGTCTTGTTTTTGCTTTTGAGTTTTTTTGTCCTTTCTCTTTTTCCTTTTGTGTGAATGTCTATTTATTGGTATGCTCCCATCAATAAAACTTCAGCTGCGTTTGAGATATTGCTGTGTTGGTCCGTTTTTTTATCGTTCCCCATCTCAGGGTTTACAAGATGTCGATTGATTACCAGCTCGCCTGCACTCTCTCACTGCTTACAGTGTTATTCACTTCTTTTGCCGCGCATACCGGATATGTCACCAGGAGGCTGGGGACAAAAGTAAACAAAGAAGACTATACTCGCACGCAGCCAACGTCACTGACCAAAATGTATTTGTCGTTACGCAATTTCAAGGATAAAAACGGACGCCTTTCATTCTCTCTTTCGCACATATTGATGACGACGTTGTGGGGATTGCATTAGCGTTGTAAACAGTGCGATTTCCAAGATCTCATTACCAAGCGTTGGGTTTCCTGCGATGACAACGTTTAAATGCCATGTATAGGTCTTTAAGACGACATTTAAATCACCACGAGCAAAGCGTGTGCATTTGATTTCAGCTCGTGACAATACTTTTAGGGGTCTATTTGCCTGCGCGTCGTCCCACACTGCCGTGTCTCCTGTGAGAAAGGCTGCCAGGAACGAAATGGTTTGACATAAAATTACGGGCTACTGCGATGCCCTGCTCGGCGCCTGAAGCAATCATTTCTTTAGGAGAAAAATAATTAAAATAATTTTTGTTTTTTCAACACACACTCCTCTTGCCATGGAGGTGTCAATAATTATATATTACATATCCTGTTGGAGTTTTGGCACCAACATATTATATTTGTTTATACTTACAGGTGAGCAAGTTCGTGAGCAGCGGTATGAACTCCTGTGTGGAACAAGCCATCGTCTTCCAAAAGTCCCACTTTAGTGCTCAAGCACACACCCGCAGCATAGGCAACACCTAAGACAGTGTGATAATATGCCATATATTATAAAATAGGGCACTGATTCCTTGTTGCATGCAATAGGCACGTGACAATGTATCTCGACCTTGCCACGGATTCGGTATCTTTGAGTTCTTATGAAGGATTTGCATAAAAACTAACCGTGTTATAATTATTATAATAGTTTTGTGTTGACTGAAATCAGAATGGATCAACGCAGTCAATAAAAAAAACCGTTTAATTATAAATAGTTTATTCTCGTACCAGGGTACCACTATCCCGGAGTCATTTTCCACGACTTTTTTTTTTTCTTTTTGTCTTCGCCAGCTTTTGACAGTGGGATTGGATTCAAGAAAAAAAAATGCTCGAAGATGCGTTAAAAAAAGGAATTATTAAAGGGACGTTGCCAACTATATTCAGTTAGAATGTATTCCACTATACACGAGCACACTCACGCTAGTGGGATACAAGTATTATCGCGTGCAATGCCAGTGAACAATGAACTTATTTGTTGTGACATAATTTCAAATACAAAAGCCAGCATTTTTTTTGTCCCTCTTTCCGTCGTAAATTTACTGCGTTGCTTGGAGGTAGCGGCGTTGGCATACCCCCAATTACAATATAGTTAGGGTCATAGAATGAACCCCAGCATTGCGTGACTCCATCTGAGCTCGTGACAATAAATAGATCGACCAACATTAAAATAGTGGCTCGTGTTCAATCGCGGCATGGGTACAATAGGCGAAATTTTACAATCTCAAAAGCTCAGCGCGCGTCCTGCTTTTCCAAATCGAGGAGGAGTTTTTTTTTATTAATATAGACGTGCAAGTTTGCTGTATTTAGAGAAATGAGCTGCGTTTTTATAATAATAACAAAAGTCATGTTGCGTAAGCATATTCATTTATATATTCGTAAAATGCATAGTTATCATTTCGATATATTTTCGTTATTTTATCTTTTAACGTGTTTAGGTTTCTTATCCTGTTTGTTTAACGTAGAATCTTTGCATATAAATATTTTACTATAATTCAATAATGAATGCTGGAAACCAATCATAAAATAACCCGAAAAAATTATTATTACGTGCAAAATTCAAAATTTTTTATATCTAGAAGATAATTAGCGACGGCGTTCGCATATAGCAGAATGCTCCTCCTAACAACATGAACTTCACATATATATTTTTTACATAAACAGAAAAGAAAAATGAGCTGGACTAGCATTGTACGATATGACGTGGATACGCGCTGAAACAAAAATAAATTAATATTTTTGTCCGTGGAGGGGCAAATTGAAATAATCAAGCGCTATTCGATGGATCTTTGACGGGCATTGAAAAGCGTTTAGCGTCGCAACAACGCAAGATTGCTCTCACAAGCGAAGCAAAACTCATAAAGACGGGGCAAAAATGGTGCATTATTGTGTTTTATTTGTTAAGTTGCGGGGTTATTGGTTTTACGCGTGAAGGAAGCTGCAGGAACTGTTCCCGGCTGACGCGCTGCATGTTTCGGTGCTCCCATGGGTCTGTACCAAGAAGCTTCTTTCAAAACTCGTTTTGCGCGCCGTGATCTTATCTGTTCATTCATCCAACATTTCAAACAGCGACACCTTTTTTGCGGTTGTGGTGAACAAAAGTTTAGCGCGAGTGCGCGGCGATGAGGACATCGGCAAAAGACCCCATGTTGAGCCTCCTTGAGCAGGACTATACTTATGCCATGCTTTGGGTTAGTAAAGCTAATGTCGCTTCGCTGTACACATATTATGATGTTCTATCTCGCTTGGTGCATAAAAGGGGCACACAAGGATTTATTTTTTGCCTAAAACGATAGTGTCGCGGTGGTAGCAGAAACTTTTTCTGTGGCCCTTGGACAACGGCGCTGTTGGTGTTTCGCGGCACTGACCGGTCTCGAATTGGGTCGATATCTCCTCGCTATCTCCTCCACGTAAGTTCATTAGTGTAAATTAACGTTAATAGGTATCGGTTAATCCAATAAGGTTGGTATGAATGTTTCGGAGAGCCGGACTATCTGCAGGCGTGTCGTCAACTGCTCAATCTGCCCTCGAATCAGTCCGTAGTGTTAGTCGGCCATTAGGAGGCTGTGGAAGCAGCGATGGCGGGTTACTCAAAGTGTCGCATTGAGTTGGCGAGTCAGTGGCTTGTAAGAATTTTGGGGTGCCCTCGTAGAGCGCAATCTCAGCGTATCAAACCGGTATAAGCATCCTACATTATGTAGGCGTCAAGTCACTGAACGGGAGCTCGAATTTGTTTGCCAGCTCGACGTCGTCGTCTCCGTTCGGAATGCAATATGCGATGGCCAATGTCAACTATAGCGAATATGGCCGCCTTTACAGAGCGCTGCTACAGCTCACTGGGTCAATCGTGCTCATGATCACTAAATTCTACCGGAAGTGGCAGTTCATAGTTGGAGTCAGTTGCCTTTCGAGAGATGTCTTGTGACTTCAATCCAGAAGGCCAGTTTCGGTTTCGTGGATTCGATCTACGCGAAATAATAAGCTTCATTCAACTATATAAACATTTACCAGTCTGCAGGGAACCCACCGAGTCAGAAACATATCATTTAAAAAACAAAAGGTTTAGTATCACCGTTTAATATTGCGAAATCTGGATTTCGGAAAAAAGGGCCGCACAACCGTTGAACGGGGCGCCACGAGCTACCCAACCTCATTTATACATCAGTATCTCAAACAAATGGCCGTATTTTTGGAAAAGGGCACAATCAAGCGAAGGCTATAACAAAGGGATCCTCCTGGAACTTTTGAGAATGGGGGGAAACGGCATCTCCTCTATCATCCTTGGTTCGATTCACGAGATCCACGGGACGAAGCGAGGAAGAGAGGGAATGAAAATCGTGGCGTCACATGTCTCGTCGGCCTCGTCGGCCGTGTTCAGTCGCGCATTTCTTTTTTGAAAATACGACCATCCGTTAGAGATATCGCTGTATGAGTGGTGTTTTTGGATTCTGCAGAGTCCCGCCTATCTCTCCAGCTCTGCTTTGTCAGCTCGAAATTTCGGTTCAGTATTCCTCTAAAGATACTTTTTTTTTTATCACAATGAACGTTCTCGGGAATATGTGTTACCAGATAATTTATGTAACTGTGTTTACTTTCCCACGGTGTATGCAAGCTTTAATTTGCTTCTGAAAATAGAAGCGAAGATACCAAAGGTTTAAACAAGTCTACCACCTCGCTAGGATTAGTGTGCACGGAAAAGAGTCAGTTCAAAAAAAGGGAACTTTTGTGTTAAGGAAGTCAACACATCCAAAATAATTATTTTTGCCATAATGGGCCAAGTACCCTAAATAGGACGTTTGCAGGAAATATCTCTAAGCTTCTGTTTTTCACAAGTGTGCTTAAGATTTTGATTTTACTGAGTTTTGATGTTGCGAATCGGACGTGTATTAGGCTCCCTCATATATTACCCATAATCTGTCACGTACGCTTCGGATATTCTCCATTGAATCTTGTGTTTAATCGAAGCCAACCAATGCTCTGACAATCTCCCAATAATTATTTTTATATTAGGTAGAAAATAGGGTACGATCTAGCCATGCTCCTTGGAATAGAGCTTCAAATATATGGCCTCTTCAATATGCCCCGCTTTTTTTATTTCAGAGCAATATATAAATTGTGACTTTTATTGCATAGTTTAGACCATACCAAGGGCACTCGTACAAAACAAGAAAAACGAAAGTAGGTATAAAAAAATGTATTTTTGAGAAACTGATGTTGATATTTGTACCTTTGGAGTTTCCTCTCATATTCAAAATTGTTTTTCGCTACATGAGCTTTAACTTACAATACCCATATTACATGGGCATTGTAAGCTACAATAATCCGGTTTGCTACAATAATCCGGTTTGGGCTTTTGATTTTTACGGTCAGGGTTACATATTATATGAGGCTGAATGTCACGATCGATAAGCCAGATAATTATTTAAAATTTGTTCGTTAACCTTTTAATTAGTAAAAATTAACGTAAGTTTTAATTACAAACTTGGTAAGCGTCCTCCGAAACAACTAGATCAGTAAATATTTTCAATGCTTTTATATCGCGTGAGGCGCCATGGTGCGCTTAAGTTATCAGTTGTGAAATAGGAACAAGGCTTGGGGCGCAAAAACGCGTATGATCAGAGGTGGATTAGCCGCCCGGGAACGTTTTGGCTCCCACAGTCAAGGGCTGAGTTTTGCGTTCCACCGTTCTTCCCAGGCACTACAGATTGTTTTGAATGCACTCAGCAAGTTTGCAATTAAAACTGCATGTTTATCTTCGCTAATTAAAAATTTATGAACAAAAATCAGGTAAATATTATACTTATAATTATGACTGTGTTACAAATTGCTTCCCCCTGGCCGTATAACTCACTTGCTCAAACCACAACAATTTAAAATGTATGGATTGAAAGAAACAACAAAAAACCTCTCTGTAAAGCCAACAATAAAAATCCCCCTCTATAATTTTCTGTGCCGTTGAATGAAACAAACTTTATCATAATGAAATCCAGGCAAATTGTCGCCAGAGGGCTAGGTTGAGATTTTCTTTAGAAACATGTATAAGAACAATCTGAAATTATTTCTTGTGGCCACTTGGAACTTCTGTTCTAGTGGTAAAAAAACGTGCAGCATTTCCTTGTTGAGCGAACTGCATGTTAGCCCGGCGAAATACTGCGTAAGTTGTGACTATCGCCTGAATCCTAAATTTCGCTTTCAAGCCATTTAAAGCCGCCCACCTCCGCTTAACCACAAAAAAAAAAAAAAAACATTGCAGCAAAGGCGAGGATTTAATGTTGACAGAGCCTATAGTATTTTTTAAATGTTTAGTAATAATGGCCATTTTTCCTCATTGGTTTAGAATAAGATCGACCACTATTATAACTTCCCGAATGAATCTGCTAGAACATTTGTATTTTAAAAGTCAAATTGAAGTGCTGTCTTTCGCGAATTTAGCAGTAACACAAACCACATAATGACAGCTAATTGCCGAACTGTCTTTGTTTGGAGAACACCTTTCATACCCGGGTTATAACTATATATTCTGCTCGAAACTATACCTACAGTGATAGGGAAGATAATTTGCAAACAGTGGGTGTATGCCCCACCTGGAAAAAAAAGACATCACTCTGCTTGTTCTGCTAAAACTTTTAGTGCTCTGTTGCTCATTCGCTCTCGCATTTTTCATTTATGTATTCTTTATACACTGGTTGAATAACACGACATGAGTGGCGTGAAATATTAATGGCAACATTTCTTTTGTTATTTGGGTCAGAACGAACCAGGTGTCTCGAAAAGCGTTTCTTTTCGAAAATCGCACATGAGAAAATACAGGTTTTCACCTGAAGGCATTTGAAAAGAACGCAATGTGCGGATACTGGAATGAGCAAGAAATAACTCATAGCTCACCAAATACCATGAGCGTGTGTTGAGTCTCTCCAGTGTGTTAGAACATACAATTTACTCAACACATAAATACAAAAAAATCCCTAAGAGGAATTACTAGGTTACAGCTGAAAAAAATCTAGAAATTATTTGGCATAGTGGGTGCCGCTGCTGTTCCCAATACAGAAAGCATAAAAGGCACATTGAATATTTTGTTAACAATGCTAACCGCATGCCTGGTATTCTTCGCAGTAACTTTGCCCTATCTCCGACGATCCATTTAAAGCTGCCTTTGCCCTATACTCTCGTGCGCTCTAAGATTCAGTATGCTTGATCCGTATTGGATCTTCACACTGGCTTGCTCATCCGTCCTTTCTCTTAAATTTTCCCAGAACCGCTAGGCTCCTTTCCTCTTGAATAACTATCTCGCGTGGCCAGTGTGTCGCAAATAAAATAAAAAAAATAAAAACCGTCAGATTTATTTGATTTTTTAGTATGAAGTTGTATCTCTAGATCATGTATTTTTCATAAAGTATGTTACACGAATGAAAACCTGAACTAGTTGCTCTTTAACGTTGCGCCCCGTTACGACAGCCACTTGTAAGTTATAAGTCACCTAGCTGTGTTTGGAGATCTTTGTCCTCTGTCCCTCTCGTTCCCCTTCTCCAGGGATTATTTTCGTCATACTTGTAAGTTGGCACACAAAACTCTAGAACTAACGAGCAATTTGACTCCTTTGCCCCCAAACCAAGCCTGAACTGAGACCCCTTCCCGCCACCGTTGTTCCCACCACCGAACGTTTGGCCTTCAAGTGCACGGATTTAGCCTACAAGAAGTGGAATTAATTTCCAATTGGCCATTGGGCACTACTGTAAAGGCAACATATTGGATGATGTCACTTCCTTAGTAAATGTTCCTAGTTGAGAAGAAGCTTTCGCTACATGAGCCTCTGCCACAGAAAACATACAACATATGCTACCTTTTTCTATTGCAGCAAGGAATTTTTATTTTATTTTTTGGATAACCCTCGTTTTTCCTTGTCTCTATCCTTGATTCCAGTTCTTACTATCCTAACTTTCCTCGTTCTTTATGTTTATTATATAAAACGTACCTAGAGCGGATAGTTAGAAGTGTCCTACCTGTTGTTACCACCTCCACGTGACTTCTGTATTTCAACGCCAAGTCTTGGCTGTGTGGGAAAGTGACATTTTGTAATGTGTTATTCAATGACACTATATACTGTACCCTGCTTCAGCGATTGTCGGGATTGAAAGATCAGAGCTTTAATTTTTTTTAAAAGCACAGGAGCATTTCATACAAAAGCATAAATGCGGTGACACCACGTGGCGCAAAGCGAAGAGATAGAAAATAAGGTAAGTTGGTTGATATTTATAATAAAACTGAGGTAGAGTTTAAAGGCATTGTAAAGTTTAATGTTTGGAAGATTTAATACATCAACTGGGAGCGTTTCCCCAACAACTTGAAATTAAATTGGTGTATGATTAAAAACAAAAAACCCAATTATTTCCGATACATTTAGGAAGCAAATTACTCGCTATATTTTTAATAACATCTTATTTAAAGTTGTTTTATTAAACACTAAGACTAAACACGGTCTGTGTAAAAACTCTTGATGCAATTAAAAACATGTTTCCCTGACCCGTACCCCGGCCGTGTGGTCAAATGTAGAAGAGGATTACAGAATACACTAGGTACGCTGGAACCAAAGTCACTGGATCAACTCAGTTATGAGCCTGCCCATAGAGGCTGCTTCCATGGGCGGCGCCACCATCCTTCGCCTTCTGTCTCTCGACTCGCTTTCGTTATTGCGTACAGTGACCTCTAAAGAACACGCAGGTTTCGAAGCACAGCATCTAGACGGCGCTTTACCGTGATCTACAGCGGAAATACTGGAGCTGGAAAATTTAACGAAAAGACTGCGGCTTCCGGAACCAACAGAAGAAATAGTTAAGGCGGTACACCTGCTCAGGTACAGGAAGGCAATACAGCTTCCTTGTTGATGAGGTTGAAAGAAAAGAGACTAAGCAGTTTCTGAATTCAGAAGCGAGTGACTCTGGGAGATGAAGACAGATACATTAACGAGAACTCAAAGAGAAATAGGACCTTGCTATAAAATATTAACTGCGGAAGAGAAGGGGTCGCTGTTAATCACATTGAAGACAGAAGACACTTAAATAAAAATAAGTACCCGTGACAGTATCGTTCCACTCATTCTAAGAATGTATAACTACAAAAACGTGCCTATGGAGATCATTCTGGTGAATAGATAATGTGGAAAGGTTAAAAAGTTTTTGGGTAAAATTATGCTGCTGTTGTGCAAAAAATAGCTTCCCAAGCAGAGCTCCTTTTAAGTAAAATAAACTTAGAAGAAACAACCTATCATATGTTCACCCTGAAGGGTCGTCATGCCTAGTTCTTTGGCGAATGGTTAGAAAGGGTGGTGGAATAGTTATGTATGTCAATGAGAACTGTTTATCATATAAACTTGAATTTTAATTGGAATATGCAAAGGCATACCTTGTATCCATCGGCGAAAGTTTATGTTATTACATTGTGTGTGCTGCATGCTACCCAGCTCAAACGCCGATATTTTCACAGAGAAAATATAAGCTTTTTTTAGTGCATTTAATAACACAAAGTATTTTGCACGCGCTGATATTACATTGAGGGTACAACTGAGGCTGAATTTGTAGTTTCAAGTTAATCACACAGTCTTTCGTCTTTTGGACAGGAGAATGTACAAAATTACTGTGTTGGAGAAGACTAAAACTAAATTACTAGAATATGAAGTGATCATATAGTTACCAGAATAAATAATCGGATCTACTGCCGCGTGCACGAACGAGTGGGAACGCTTCTCGGTACTTCAAGAGGATTCGTATGTATTCTTACACAACGTGTATTAGATAAGTAGGCCGACTCGGCTTCGCCGAGTCAGTCTCGCCCTAGCGTGAGGCTCGAACATTCTATACCGAATGCCCCACATTCCGAGGATAGTAGATCAGGAGCCCAACGCAACCATGGTGGCTCTCTATCTCGATGATGAAAAACTCTCATGCTAGCTAGCTGTGACGCTGTCATGCGGACACCTCGACGTTCGCTGCTGCCGCCTCATTTCTAGTGGAGGTACGAGGTAATCTATGCCCTTCTTCGTAAGCCCCGAAGAGCCGCCAGACCAGGTTGATTTCAAGCCACGGAAAACTTCCTTCTGAGGAACCAAACAAGGCCCAAGGAAGTCGCTGGATTTTGTTTCAGTGGTGAAAAAACCAAGAAAGAAGTCGACGCACCCGGAGATGTTTTCTCATGGCCAGCCGACCTAGACTCCCAATGCTGAATTTACCGTCCTGTTCCTGCCCATTGCAACTCGTACACCAACGCCCTTCCAAGACGATGCTTACGAAAACGTGGACGACTGGATAAAACCGTACGAGCAAGTAACACGGTATAACCAGTGGGCATCGGAGAAGAGTGTCCAGAACATGCATTTGTCACTAGATGAAACTACCCGTTTCTGGTTCGAAAACCACAAAGCTTCACTCTGCTCATGAGAAACGTGCAAAGAGCAGCTACGTGTCGTCTTTACGAGCCAGCAGCGTCGGGAACGCACTGAAGGACTGCTCAAGGCAGGCACTCAAGGACCAAACGAAAGCGCTCTTAGCTTTGTCGAAGACGCCCTTCGACAATTCAACAACATAAATATCCAAGTACAGCAAGCGAAGAAGCTCAAGAACTTCACCCGAAGGGTAAAGGAAACCATCTTCGGTGGCCTCGTGCTATACCCACCGGCGACCTTCGAGGTTTTCGTGACGAAGGTCACACACATCGAGCCTGCTCTCCAAGCACAAGGTAACGACTGCCAGAGACTTCAAAATGTCACTTCCCCCGCGTCGGCTAGCCTCGACGTCGGCACTGGCCTTCCTCCGGACATTCAAGATATGGTCAGCGACGTCACTAGGGAGGAGCTCAGGCAGTTGATGTCTGCTGCCGATGACACGGCTGCACTATCCATCGATAAAGTAATAGGAGAGGAAGTCCAGCGAGCCTTTCAAATAGAGCATCGCTTCAACACAAAAATAGCACTTGAGGAAAGCCGGTTGGTAACGTAAACCTCAATGACCAGGAGACCACCAGTAGTGACCGGCCAGTACGCTGCGCCGCATCGACGGGACACCCCGACGCCAAGACGACAGCGCCCAGTACGCCCACCCTGAACCAACCGCGCCGAGAAAGACCGACGTGCGGCGAACGGCCGACCGACGCCCGCGCTGCTACCACTGCGGAGATGACGACCATCTCTACCGTGTATAACCCTACAAACTACTTGGACTGCGTGGGTTACCCGCGCAAAGCACGCCTCAAGTATGGCGAACGCCCTTTCGACATTGAAGAGTACCTCTGACGGTCGCCATCCTCAGCGCCGTCTCTCGGCCGTGAATACCGCTCTCCATCACCACTACGTTCATTGCCTCCAGCACCATGACCCCGCCGAGAGAGCCTGTCTCCTCTGCTCCAACGGGAAAACTAGGTGCGGCGATACCTGGAGGTGGCGCTGCTGAAGACAACCGAAGTAAATAGCCTCCAAGAAGGCCGGGGTGCTCTCACTCGTTCGACGCCACGCATCGCAACGACGCTTCTGCAACACTACCCAAACAGATAAACTTTCTTATCGACTGCCACGACGCGGCGACACCCGGGGACACCGGAGCAGGCTACTCTGTTTTGAGTGGGAAGCTTTCGCGCCGTCTTTGGGAAGTGCCGCCGCCGTGGGATGGACCACAAACACGAAGCGGCATAGGCCGCCCAATAACGCCGACTGGAATGTGCACTGCATAAGTTGTATCCACGGTGAGACCTGCCCCGTGAGATTCGTTGTTCTGCAAGACTGCGCGAGGTACATTGTTCTCGAAATAGATTTTCTATGTTACTTCGGCGCCGTCATTGATCTCGGAGCAAACCGTTTGACGCTAAGAGCACCTGTCCCACTGCCTGAGGAGCCCAAGGCGACGTCATTCGTGGTTCGAGTCCTCGCAGACAACATAAAATTACCGCCGCGGTCAAGCGGTTTCGCACCCGTCAGGACCAATGAATCAACCTGCCCCGAAATTCTACTTGAGAGAAGCGTCCTGTTGCTTTTAGAAAGAGGAATCGCTGTCTTGAAAGGAGTCACAGAACCTCATTGCGGGCGTGCCATGGTGTATTTAAAAAATTTCCGACGAAACCGCAACATATACTTTAGGAAAGGTATCGCCTTCGGCTATATTGACGAACTGCGGAACACAGCCGCGATCGCTGCACTCTCGGAAGAGCTAACTTCATCATAGCACAGGAAAACGCCGTCTTTGGAACTGGACATCGACCTGAAGCTTCCAGCTATACTGAACGAGGACGGCTGCTTGACCTTCTGCTCAAGTTTGGCGAGTGTTTCGCCACAACGTCAAGGGTGCGACAAACAACGGAAGCGAAGCACCTCATTTTCACTGACGAAGCCCCACTCCCAGTCCACTCTCGCCGTTTCGAGTCTCCTTGAAGGAAAGGGAGGCGATTCGAGATCAAGTCATGGAACGCTTGACGACGACATAACTCAACCTTCAAGAAGTTCCTGGGCGTTTCCAGTCGTGCTTGTAAACAAGAATGGCGGAACCCTGAAGTTCTGAGTAGATTATTGTCAACTGAACGCTGTGACTAAGAAGGACGTCTATCCGCTCCCCCGCATCGACGATACGTTAGACCGGCTGGGCCACTCCCGATTTTTTTTTTCTTGATAAACCACTCAGCCTGTCGCCACTACTGCCAGATTGATGTTGACGAACGCGCCCGCGAGAAAACTGCCTTCGTCACACCCGACGGACTTTACGAGTTCAAAGTGATGCCCTTCGGACTTTATAGACCACACCCACCTTCAAGCGTGTCATGGACGCCATGTAGGTAAGTTTGAAATGGTAGAGATGCCTCGTCCACCTCGACGATGTCGTAGTATTTTCACAGGATTTCGAGGAACACCTGATAGGCTTCGAGGCGTGCTTGAAGCCATCGAGCCCGCCGGCGCTACCCCCAGGCCTACAAATTGTCGGTTCGCCCATGGTGAACTAAAGTTCCTAGGCCACGTCGTAAGAAACAAAATTGTTCGCCCTGGCCCTAAGATGACGCGCGCCGTAGCCGCATTTATGC